TATTCCTGAATATTAGTGATACCGATCTTTCACAGATCACTCTTGGTTGACAAACATACACTCTCTTCCCACTGATGTGCACAAAGGCCGTGAGAGAAATTGCGAACTCGATTTGGCACAAAATCGTCCATATTCCCTTATGTCCAGGAACTTGGATATCAGTTTTGGGACTGGTTCGGCTTTAATTTCAGAAATTAAATCAGATTCGTTCGCATGCAAGTCTTCATTTTCTTCTTTCTTAGCCGCCCCCCCATTGATGCCTTCATTGGGGACCTTTGGATTTTCTTTCCAAAGCAATGTGTCTTCGAGTGCCCATGAAAATTCCATCCCTCTCATTTCATTGCCGAGCTTTACGTTTTTTGGTGAACGAGAAAATGATGCTTTGAATGTGCCGGTGGATTCATCTGGTGCTCGATTGATTCCTGGAGGTAAATTTTCTACTTGCCTTTTGTATTCTGAAAATACGTAGTCTGGATTGGTTGTAAAATAATGTCATTTTTTATCACATCAGATAAATGTGTTGAGAATATCATGCTATTCACTTATCGCACTTTTCCCTCATGAACTTTATCGATGTAGATTTTAAATAAAAATTAACATTACAAAAAATTAACATTACGATACAATTTACTATTTATCCACACATATTTCTAACAACACGTTATTTTAATCGTTATATTTTCAAATTATCATCCAATCGTACTTTTCAGTATACTTTCTGTTCGCAAAACCATATTCACAGTTTTCCCTGCGAGATATTTTTTTTTTTTTCTACCAAAGACAATGCAGACAAAACACTTTTACAGAGCTTATACACTCCAAAAATATAACATGCTTTGATGAGCTTATAAGTTACCAAGTTTACTACAAAAACACTCTTGGTCTAGCCCTTATCCGTGACCTTTTGTAATTATAGTTGTTCATATTACACAAGTTACGTCTTCATAAAGGCAATTATTAGGAAAATGAAACAATGTGTAAGAGGTCTTTGTAACAATTTAAAGGGGGCATTTGGGGTTGTGTGTTCTTAAGCTATACTCCAGGGGCATTGGAGTAATTTAACCTCTAACGCTAATATTCTTGTATTTCCATTTTAATTTTTATTTGTTTCAGCTACCAGCACAATCACAAAAGCAGTTGATGATTCTAAAGTGAGCGGAAGTCGAGAGGTGGCAATATTAGGCATTCACAGTAGAAGAAACCATACAATTGGTGTAAGTGAAATCGAGCATTTGACAGAATCTGTTATCCGTTGGGCTTCTTGCACGCGTCTCCCCACAGCTACCTCACTTAGATCTTCGCTTGTTTGTTAAAAAATAGGTATATTTTATTTTTATCTATATCCATGCATTGAAGCAAACCAGTGATTGAGTTAATCTTGTACCTTTGTCGAATTCTTGGACTAGTAATGGCGTGGCAAGTTTTCTTAAGGAGAGCACTTGCAAGAAGATTTTT